TGGAGACCTGTCCAGTTGTCCCTGTGATGGACTGGAGACCTGTCCAGGGTGTCCCCCGCCCCTCACACAGTGATTGCAAAATGGAAGAAGAGGCTAAAAGAGGATGGATGGATGGATGGATGGATGGATGGATGGATGGATGGATGGGTGGATGGATGGATGGGTGGGTGGGTGAGTGGGTGGATGAATGGATGGGTGGATGGATGGATGGATGGATGGGTGGGTGGGTGGGTGGGTGGATGGATGGATGGATGGATGGATGGATGGATGGATGGTCTTTACCAGAATCTTAAAATTATTGAAATATACCCTCAAGTGAACAAAACACACAACAGATTCCGTGACACCATTATTTACTAAACAAGGCCAACATGGAAACGTTGTATGTTAAAAACCAAGTTTGCTGTTGGTTCTTCCATATTATTTATAATTGGAGAAGGAAAGCAGGATCCAGGTGACAATCATGTAATGATTACCTAATTGACTGATCATCATCAGTGTGAGCACTTCTCAAAAATCTGTAGTATTTTCAGTTTGCTGCTCTGAAGCACACAGGTGTGTGTGTGAACACAGTGCCAAGAAGAAAAGACATCAGCAATGATTTTAGAGAAGCAGCTGATGTTGCCCATCAACCTGAGAAGGGTTATTAGACCATTTCAAAACAGTTTAGAGCGCATCAATGGACAGAAAGAATATTCATGCATGCAAACCTGTGAAGACAGCTTCCAGTCTTCCCAGGAGTGCTGTCCCAGTTCTCAGCAAAGGTTCTGTACCCCAGTTAATATAGTTTTGATTTCAGAACATTTCTCACAGGTGGTGTGTTCAACCTTGTGCTGCAGGGCCCAGATCCTTTCTGCTGTTGAACAGAACATTAAAGTGTCCTTTAGCTTTATGACAATCACTGATCCTGGTTGTAAAAAATCAACCACCTTACATAACTGCTGAAAAAATACAGTTTATTAAACTTTGTGCATTGCATAAAAAAACTGGACTGAACAAAGTCATACTTGTGTTTTGAACAAAGTTCAACTGGTTTTGTTTGTAAAATTGGAGCAACATTTATTACAGTTCCCCTCAAACGTTAAAGCAGCCCTCCATCTTGTGGGCTAATAGAAATATCACAAGTGGAGGAATAACACACACATGAAGGACAGTCACACACAGTACACACAACTACTGTGCTGTACTGTGTGTGACTGTTTTATTTGACGTGCACGTTTGTACAATCTGTTCAAGTTTGAGCATTTTTGCACTTTGCTCAGTTTTTATCTCTGCTGCTATAAAAACAGAAAAACTTTGTGCTGCTAACCACACATCACAACATGTTTCTACACATGTACTAATCGACATGTGTCTCTAGTCTTGGCTCTTAACTACTTGTTTAGATTGAATTAGATGTCTGTTTGTATTTCTTGTACTGTTGTGCATCTGCACTGTGTGTTGTGTTGTTGTTGCACGTTATGTTCTGTGTTGCACCGTTGTCAGTAGCTGAAATGACAATAAAGCTTCTCTGACTCTGACTTGGATGTAAAAGAAAATTGATTTATTAACATGACATGGCAACAATTCTACTAACAAAATGTAAAAACTGTGTTAAACTTGAGGAGGCACACAGAGGTAGATGTCATAACCTGGCTGTGGAAAGTACAGCATGAGTGACCGACAGACTGAGGAACACAATGAGCACACACAAACACCTGGAGAAGACGACTAGGAACAGGACAGGAGCAGAACTACATAAGGGGAAACACTATAGGGAAACTGAAACACAAGTAATCAGAACACAAGAATCACAGAAAACCTAAATAAAAATAACACAAAAACACCAAATCCTCACAGATAAAACATATAGTTGTGAGGTGTAACACCCCCCCCCCCCCCACACACACACACACACACACACACACACACTGTTAACTTTGTCAGTAACAAATCTGTGACATGTACTTTGTTTTAAATTGTGGTTGCCCCTTGGAAATGGATGAGGACCAAGTGTGTCACAACATTTATCTATTTGATAAAGAAAAATCAAAAGGAGGTATTTCCCTGAAAAAAAGCATTATAAAGTGCAGAGGGGGTGTGTTCCTACTTTTCTGTTAAATCTAGTAGAAATTGATGGAGAAGTTTTTGATCTCTGTTATTCAGCATCCACAGATCTGGTCTGGTCCATGCATCTGCTTCAAAGAGACAATTTAGTGGACATGGAAGGATTTCATCCTCATACGCTGACACATAAAAAACACTTCACTCACATTTAGTAAGGCTTCACTCGTAAGACTGAACATTTTAAACTCACGAGAAGGTTTAAGATACATTATATGTGCAGCAAAATTTTAGAGTAATGTTTTCCATCACTTTAAGCACAAATGCTGGTCATAAAATAAATAAAAAAATAAAAAATTACTTGACTTGTCCTTAGGATGGCACCAAACACCAAATTTAAACCAAAGACGGATCACTACACGTGTACAAAACAGATCCTGCAGATGAACAAAATGCTTTTACTCTCTTTTAAAAAACTGCCTTTTTTTTAATTCATTTTATCAGCGTGAAGGAAATGCTCCTCTGTGAATCACCACCAATCACCAATGTGGTGGAGTTTGTGAGCCTGAATGATGTCGGGGGCAATTGCCCCTGGAAGGGCAAGGCAGACTGGTCCTGGGGGACAGTCCAGACAAAGAGTGATTCCTAATCCTCATAAGGACACAAAACAGCAGGGAATTCAATGTCCCTCTTCAGGACATGGATTGTCGAGGTTCCACCAAGATCCCCTGCCTTCTTGGAGTTCTTAGAGTGGGTGCTGAAAGATTCAATGCCCACATGGGTAGAGCAATTTGGAGGGATGTGCTTTGGAGGAACAACCTATCTGATCTGAACCTGAGTGGAGTTCTGTTGTTGATTTTCTGTGTTAGTCAAAAAAAGGTCATAAGGGTCCTTAAGTGTTAGTGGCACCAGGACACCCTTAGCCACAGACCAATGTCAAAAGTTAGTTGCTTCCCCAGTGGTCCCTCTTGGCCAGTTTTTATATGTAATTATATATTTATATCTATCTATCTTTATATATATACAGGTCCTTCTCAAAAAATTAGCATATTGTGATAAAGGTCATTATTTTCCATAATGTAATGATAAAAATGAAACTTTCATATATTTCAGATTCATTGCACACCAACTGAAATATTTCAGGTCTTTACTTGTTTTAATACTGATGATTATGGCATACAGCTCATGAAAACCCAAAATGCCTGTCCCAAAAAATTAGCATATTTCATCCCACCAATGAAAGACAAGTGTTTTTAATACAAAAAACGCCAACCTTCAAATAATCATGTTCAGTTATGCACTCAATACTTGGTCGGGAATCCTTTTGCATGAATGACTGCTTCAATGCAGCGTGGCATGGAGGCAATCAGCCTGTGGCACTGCTGAGGTGTTATGGAGGCCCAGGATGCTTCGATAGCGGCCTTAAGCTCATCCAGAGTGTTGGGTCTTGGTCTCTCAACTTTCTCTTCACAATATCCCACAGGTTCTCTATGGGGTTCAGGTCAGGAGAGTTGGCAGGCCAATTGAGCACAGTAATACCATGGTCAGTAAACCATTTACCAGTGGTTTGGGCACTGTGAGCAGGTGCCAGGTCGTGCTGAAAAATGAAATCTTCATCTCCATAAAGCTTTTCAGCAGATGGAAGCATGAAGTGCTCCAAAATCTCCTGATAGCTAGCTGCATTGACCCTGCGCTTGATAAAACACAGTGGACCAACACCAGCAGCTGACATGACACCCCAGTGACTGTGGAAACTTGACACTGGACCTCAAGCAACGTGAATTCTGTGTCTCCTCTCTTCCTCCAGACTCTGGGACCTTGATTTCCAAAGGAAACGCAAAATTTACTGTAATCAGAGAACATAACTTTGGACCACTCAGCAGCAGTCCCAGGCGAGATGCTTCTGACGCAGTCTCTTGTTCAAAAGTGGCTTGACCTGGGGAATGCGGCACCTGTAGCCCATTTCCTGCACACGCCTGTGCACGGTGGCTCTGGATGTTTCTACTCCAGACTCAGTCCACTGCTTCCGCAGGTCCCCCAAGGTCTGGAATCGGCCCTTCTCCACAATCCTCCTCAGGGTCCGGTCACCTCTTCTCGTTGTGCAGCGTTTTCTGCCACACTTTTCCCTTCCCACAGACTTCCCACTGAGGTGCCTTGATACAGCACTCTGGGAACAGCCTATTGGTTCAGCAATTTCTTTCTGTGTCTTACCCTCTTGCTTGAGGGTGTCAATGATGGCCTTCTGGACAGCAGTCAGGTCGGCAGTCTTACCCATGATTGTGGTTTTGAGTAATGAACAAGGCTGGGAGTTTTTAAAAGCCTCAGGAATCTTTTGCATGTGTTTAGAGTTACGTCGTTGATTCACATGGTTAGGTTAATAGCTTGTTTAGAGAACCTTTTCATGATATGCTAATTTTTTGGGACAGGCATTTTGGGTTTTCATGAGCTGTATGCCATAATCATCAGTATTAAAACAATTAAAGACCTGAAATATTTCAGTTGGTGTGCAATGAATCTGAAATATGTGAAAGTTTCATTTTTATCATTACATTATGGAAAATAATGACCTTTATCACAATATGCTAATTTTTTGAGAAGGACCTGTATATATATATATATATATATGTTTTTTTATAAAAATAATTTTATAAGAGGACAAACTTCAAAAAGTTGAGCAATGATAGTGCATTCTTAATGAGTAAATCAAATGTAAAAACATTATAAAGTAGTATATCACAAGTTATGTATTTAACTCCTGTATTGCTAAACTTGTCAAAAAACTGATACTGTATATGTTAAATGGTAAATGGACTACACTTTTCTATCTTATCAACATACTCAAAGCTCTTTACACTTTCATGTTGCTGTGTTCATGCGTGCTCATCTGCTCACACAGACTCAGGTTCGTGCTGCTGTTTGACGTAATGCTTTTATGCTGTTAGTGCTTCGTGTATTATCTAGTTGAGGTTTTTCTTAGTTCATATCTTAGATGTTACTGTTTTTATTTTACATTTTATTTTTGGATGTAACTGGGACCCTGCGTACATAATTTCGTTCCACCACATGTACCACATGAGTTGCGAATGACAAATAAATCTCTGACTCTGACACTACAATCTGTGCCTCATTTACCCATTCATACAGCACTTTACTAGATCTCTGCAAATAATAATCAGAGCTTTATCACATTCATACACTGATGGGACACACATCAGAGGCTATGAGGGGTTCAGTGTCTTGCCCAGGGACACTTCAATTTGTGACTGCTGGTGGATTCGAACCCCCAACTCTTGCATTGGAGGATGACGACTGTTCTAACCACTCAGCCACATCCGCCCCACAACATATTTTTAACATAAAAATTCTCTTAAAACTCTGTTCTGGCTTTTAGTTTTGGTGTTGAACCCCAGGATTTTTAGTGACCACCACATGACCACCCCGTCTGGAGGAGCTACTGCTACTTGGCAAAATAGCTACGATGATCTTTGACTTCTGGAAGAATCCACCACGCACTCGTCTCTTACACTGTGGTGAAGGAGGTGCTCTGCTGTGCTCTTGATTATCTCCATCATCAAGGACCTGAAGTGGGTAGGACACAGACAAAGTCTCAAGGCTCACAGAGGATTCATGCACTTAATGATTAAAAAGCTTTACAGTTTTTGATTTACCCAGTTCTGCAGAGATTCTTTCAGAGCCTTGTTCAAGGATGTGCACAGTGATGTTATTAGAGGGGCTTGGAAGATAGCACCATCTTTTTCTTGCAGTGAAACCAGGTAAAGTCCTCAAGTACAGACTCATGTACTATTTGCAAAATAAATGTATTTGTTATTGATTGTATGTACAAAATAAATTAATATTTAGAAAGAATATATATAGAAACTTCTTGAAAACATAACATTTATTTGGTTAAATACTTAGATGGTGACAAATATAAAATTTGTACATTTTTAAAATACATTTGTTCAAACAAACTTACAATTTTTTTACAAACACACAAGCAAAATTGCAATATATTTGTAAATGTAAAGTTCAGTATCATTCTGTGGTCTGCACTGATATTTTATGTATTTTAGAATTTGTTTTAAAAATGTTTCTAACACAGTTATGCTGGTCAGCAATGTCAATATGTTTATAAAATATATATTTATCTTATTACCAAGGTTCTTTATACAATTTTATCTGTGAAAAATGTGTATAGTTTTATAAGATGTGCTCAAGAAAGACAATGAGATAGTCCTACATTTTTTAGCTACATATTATGGTTCAGCTTTTTCTAATAAAGGCACATTACAAGAATCACACTTTATACATTACAGTATTCATATTCATACCCATCTGCTCACAACAGACTCATGTTCAGGCTGCTGTTTAATACACTGTATTACTGTATAGTACATTATTATTGTTTAGCTTATATCTTACATCCTTGTATACTTTTACTTTTTATACGTTTGCTGTTTTGGGTTAGAGTTGCATTTAGGCCCAAAAAAATCTGATCCGACCTGGCCCCAGCTCGTAGCCATCATTTCTGAACCCCACCTGACCTGACGTATTAACAGTAATTACAGGTCCGAACCCGAACCCTCCACCAACATTTTTAATTAAGCTTTGACTGCTTATAATTATTAACGGTCATTGGATGCGTGGATCACGATAATGTTAGTTTTATGTTGGGTGTTGGACATTTGAGCTCCGTGGCTTCAGCGGTGCGTTCCTCTCGTTCGAGTTTGGCTGACTGAAATCAGACTGCCTGCATCGGATCGACTGAGAGGAACACACCGCTGAAGCCACGGAGCTCAAATGTCCAACGCCCAACGTAAAACTAACTTTACCGCGGTGACGCACAGCTGAATAAAAGGGGCAGAAGATCGGAGCTGAGGGGGTGTTTGTCCTTTCATGGCTGTCAAAGAGCATTAAAACTCTGCTTCTTCCTGCATTCTGCATTATTCAGACACAGACCCTGCTCTGACATGTCTGCTTTGAGATCTCACCTGTTCGGATCGTCGGCCACGCGCGTCCACTGAGTGCAGCGGCTGAATGAACGTCCATTTGGACGATGAATCGCTGCCTGGCAGTATGATCCCATCTGAAGCTTAATGGAACTTTATTTTACCTCAAGGCCGGTCAGCACACAGTCAAATGGCTGTGTGCGGCTGGCAAGTGTATGGCAAGCCATGTTGCCATATAATTGGATAGCAGCTGATCCGCAGACGCAATCAAAATCCCAACACCGACCCACCCATCCAGCACATTTTCATGGCCCAGCCCGCCTCGAATTCGGGACGGGTCGGGCCCGGGTTAGAAATGACAGCTCTATTTTGGGTGTAACTGAGACCTCGAGTACACAGTTTCATTCCACCTCATGTATCATATGTGATGCGAATGACAATAAAGAACCTCGAACCTTACTGTCTGCATCAGGACTGGCAAAATGTCCTCTTTTGCTTCAAATAAGAATATTCTTTGGAGCAATTTTTAAATGTTGCTTAAAACTAAAACATCTAGCATAGAACATGGCAGGCATTTTGTTAAGTTTAAGGCATTTTGTGCTGTCATAACAGAAGCCAAAGCGGTGCACATCTTGAAAATTACTGCGTAAAGCCCAAAGCATTCTGATTCAAGACACATTATGTTTTGTCTTTCTGCCTTAATGCAACGCAGTCACGTTTTTTAAATAAAATCACATTGCCTAATTTGCCTAACAATTTGGATTCATACAGGCAGCACGGTGGGCCTGTGATTGGAAGATCGCCGGTTCAAGCCCCGGTACCGACGGCATAAAAAATGTGGGTAGGGTGTGAATCACCCACAACTGACCCCACCCTCATTCATCCCACTCTGGGCCCTTGAGCAAGGCCCTTAACCCCCACCATCTGCTCCTCTGGGTGTCCTAGATGCAGCTCTCTGCTCCACACAGAGGGCTGTGGTAGCTCGGTGTCTGTGGTTGCGTCAGGAAGAACATCCGGCGTAAAAAATAACTGCCAAGTCTTCGTGCGACTGTGGCGACCCCTTAAGAAACGGGAGCAACTAAAAAAGACAAAAAAAACCCCCACCAAAACAGGCAGCACGGTGGCGCAACTGGTAGAGCTGCTGCCTCTCAGTGAGAAGGTTGCCAGTTCAAATCCCGGTCCGGGGGCCCTTCTGGGTTGAGTTTGCATGTTCTCTCTGTGCATGCGTGACTTTACTCTGGATACTCCAGTTTCCTCCCACAGACCAAAAACATGCATGTTAGGCTGACTGGTAACTCTACACTCACTCTCTAGGTGCGAGTGAGAGAGTGAATGGTTGTTTGTCTCTATGTGTCCCTGTGATGGACTGGAGACCTGTCCAGGGTGTACCCTGCCCCTCGCACAGTGATTGCTGGAAATGGGCACCGGTGATGCCTGTGACCCAAAATGGAAGAAGCGGGTAAAGATGGATGGATGGATGCAGTTACAAGCAAGCACTAAAACTGTACAAAGTGCCGTAGTGTGTTGGAGGTTTGAAGGAGCGTAGGGTTCAGCTGTGTCAAAATATCAACAGTTTTCAAGTCAGTCACAGTCTACAAAACATTGTCTTTCAATGTCTATCTTTTTTCATCCCTCATCCGTCTGAAGATGTTTGTGATTTTCCAGTGTTCAGCCCTCAGATCGACTTTGTTGTTCACAGTATGTGTATAAACAGAGAGGATTAGGGCCTGAGTCCCCAGAGAGCAGGATTCGTGTACGGCGCATAGGGGCAGTTGTTGTGGCACACACACGAGTTGATCATCATCACAGCTCGCTGTAGAAGCCTTCCCGTGGGACAACGGAAGGTCACTTGAACAGTGGAGGTATGATGTGGCATGCAGCATCGGGCGTCAGTGCACTGACCACAGTACCGGAGCTTGTACGCACTAGTGCTGTAGCAGCCCTGGTGTATGAGCCGCATGGGGCCCGGTGATGTGTAGATGACCTTGCATTGCCCCTGGTGTCCCCACTGAGAGAAGCACAGATAAAAATTAAATAAAATTCACATTCAGGAAAGTGAGAAAAGAGAAATACAAGAGCAGGGGTTAAATATGTCTGCACCCTGAAGATTGAGGTTAAAATTACCATTTGGATTTGCAGCTAAACCTTTCTTGCTCCTGTAAAACTTTTTTTTTGTGCAAAATCCAGTGTCAGATTTATAAAAATTGTTGTCTTATTATCCAATTTATACTCGTGGCAAAAAATATTGCTAAACATGGGAATAAGCCCAGTCCAGTTGTGGTTAGTCAGGCAGCAAAAACACAAGGTTGTTGTAAAAGAAGACTTAAGTTTAGAGAGAATTAAACAACAAAAACAAATGAGGCTGTTTGTGCATGAAAATGCCAGCTCCAGTAAACTTGCTCACTGTGTACTGAATCTTCTGGTAAATGCTGTAGAGCCAAAATGGTGGTTTTCATTTATAGCACCAGACCCCATAATTAAACTGCTGGCTTTTGGCAGCAAACAGGTTCTGTTTAAACTACAGCTTTGTCTTTTAGAAACTAATGTAATTAGCTGAGTGACTGAAGTTAAAGAGCACTGTCATGTTCATTTTCAGATCCATATTATACACCGTGACACTGCTAGACTAGCTGGGCTTGATTTTGAACTAAGAAAAGCTCTTCGGTCATACTCCTCTTTCAGCGTTGTATTTTTTTAACGCAGAAACCAGATTTGCACTGTTTATAATAATCTAAGTTCCTGTCTTCATTTACTTTGAAAATGCTACTTATGAAGCTGATATTTTTTTCCTCTGTTATTCCACTACCATATTTTCTGCCAAACATGTCACACCGTCTTATAAGTCGAATCAGTCCAATATGTCTAAGAAAGTGGGAAAAACATAAATATGTCGCTTCGCTGTATAAGTCACATCTATTATGTGTCACTGCTGACGCATCACGTTTCCTTAATAAAAGCACTTTGATGGTCAAATCAACTGTATTTCAAAAGCTGATACATGGAAGCAGGAGCGTACAGAGGGATGACTCCATGTGCATTTCTTCGAAATTTAACAAGATAAGCATGTAAAACAATTATTTGTTTGCTCGACATTATAGCAAAGGTGTGTCTCAGTTGAACTTTTACTTAATAAATGCACTTTAATGGTCAAATTAGCTTCATTTTGCCGGGGCGGTGCAGCAAAATTAAGCTGATTTGATGGTTTCTCCAGGCATGATCCCAGAGCTGGACGAAGGTGGCAGACTATGGCAAGCCAATTATGTCATTAATAGCTACGTTTACCAATTACATGACACAACGGCATGCCATACTACTCGAGTACCATTTAGTGACTGAAAATGGTAGTGTTCAATATTTTCAGTCAGAATGAATGAAAACGTCATATCTCAGCTAGGGCTTTAACAGACTACTCAAGTAATCTACACATCGATTCCTAGGACCTCTATCAAGTTTTTTAATTTCACGTTGAAGATTCGTGGTCATTATGTCGCCATTGCGTCATTGCGTCACATGTCACGTGATCCACACCGGGCGCAGGTTACAAAATGGATTCCTCCAAGCAGACAGATGAAGCGGAGCAGGCCCAGTCTTGGCAAACAGGTAGCAATGCATCAGTAGTATGGAAATATGTCACTAAAGATGAATCTTCCGGTTCAACTACCATAAGGAAACAGAAAATGAATCAACTTCCTGACTGGAGCTCGTTGCAAACCGGTGTTACATCATATTTTGTGACCACCGTATATTGTGACCGTAGGGGGCGGTGTTGCATGAACTGTTGCAGATCACAGAATATGGCGTAACACCGGGTCCAATCGACCGAACCAGAACCAGCTTCCTCTGACCTTGTTTCACAAACAAAAAGCAAAAAATATTAATCTCTAGACTTATAAAAAACCTATAAACATATTAATCTCTAAAACTAAACCTAATGCGCACCACAGCTGGCGGTGGTGTGGGGTGGTCGACCCCCCCCCCCCACACTGTTTTTAGTTTAGTTTTTGACGTGCCACATGTTTCTTTCACTTTTGCAGCTTATCAATAATAACTAATAGTTTAGTTTTTCCTGTGACTTATTTGCAGTATGATAAATGGTAGAAGCATAATATACTCTCCCAATGTTTTGTTGGTCTTTTTTTGTAAATAATGACCTTTTTTGCGGTTTTATTTGTTTATTTATTTATTTATTTTTGTATCTTTAGATCCTATGATGTCATCAAGTACTCGAGTTCTACTTGAGTTTTATTATGTTAATGTCGAGTTTAAAAATTATGTAGTTGTTCAACCTCTAATCTCAGCCAAAAATTGGTTTATAAATATGGGGAAAAAACATAAATAAGTCGCTTTGGCGTATAAGTCTCGGGGCATGCAAATTTATGCAAAAAACTGCGACTCATATGCCAAAAAATACGATAGATGGGGCTGCCATTGCAATGAATGGAAGGCACCTATTATTCTAAACCTCAGAAGTAAATGAACTGTACTTATATAACGCCTTTCTATCTTATGAAGACACTCAAAGCGCTTTACACTACAGTCTGTGCCTCATTTACCCATTCATACAGCACTCTACTAGATCTCTACAAACCTAATTGAACAAATCATTCTAAAGAGACTAATCAGTGCTTTAGAACACATTCTAGAATCTAGAATTTAATATAGAAACAATAGCATAGAATAGAAATAGATAAAAATAAATAGAATAGAAACGTTCTAGAATTGCACCACTCAAGGTGGCTGCAAGTTGGAGCAGCTCTGTTACTTTCATTCAGAGATTTTACTTTTGGAAACTTTAATTCCTGTTTTTCTGGATGTAAATCACATTTTTTGGATGATTGTTTCCTCTGGTATCAGATGCTGTGCAGCTGGAAGGATTTTTACTGAAACTTTTTTAGTTTTGGACATTTTGTTATGATGCGTAACCATGGCAACAAGGCAGTTTTCTACAACCAACAGCAGCTGATTAACATCTCAAAAGCTCAAATAATATCTCAGCTACAGCACCAAATCTTTAATGAGTTGAAAGGATGTTCTGTGGATGCATTCTCATCTACCTACCAGCTGTGCTCAAGTGCCTGACCACTGAGATCCTGGAACTAGCAGGAAACACGGCTCATGACAGCAGAAGGACAGGATCGTCCCTCGTCACCTAGAGTTGGCTGTCCACAGCCATGAGGAGCTCGACAGACTGCTGGGAGGACTGTCCATCGCTCTGGGAGGAGTTCTGCCTGACATTCGGGCGGTCCTACAGCCCGGGGGAACCAAGAGACCAGCCGAGTCTGGGTGGACGGATCAGACGGCATCTGCAGCCAGTTTCTTAGGATCCACTGTGGGATGGACCTTTACAAGAGATCCTTCCTGCCTGCAGACATCAGTATCTATAACATCTCTTAATGAAATGAGGATAACGAGTTACAACAACAAATAATTTCCCTTTGGGATTAATAAAGTATTTTTGAATTGAATTGAATTGAATTGAATTCATACACTGATGGGACACACATTGCTGTTGACTGTATTCTGTACCACAGACTGTACCCAGGGAAGGCCACACCTAGTCTGTATGGTTTACCTAAAATCCAATAACAAGGTGTACCTTTAAGGCCAATTGTCAGCATGAGTAACTCTGTCACTTACATAATTTCCAATATCTCACTCATCCCTTTAGTTGGCAGCTCAGAACACCACATACAGAACACCATGGACTTTGTGGATAAGGTGAGGGATGTCATCATGGAGACTGATAAAACAATGGTCTCTTTTGATGTCACATCACTCTTTATGTGCATTCCTGTTGAAGATGCAGTAGACGTGGTCAGTTTAAGATTAAAACCAGACACCACTCTGAGCAGCAGGACCACGCTTTCCACAGAACAACTGTGTCAACTCTTGAAACTGCACCCGCAGTCAACCTACATCACATATGGGGGCCAATAATATAGGCAGAAACATGGGTGTGAATGGGTTCTCCAGTTTCTCCTATTGTTGCCAACCTGTACATGGAGGAGGTAAATGGACTGTACTTATATAGCGCCTTTCTATCTTATTGAGATACTCAAAGTGCTTTACACTACAATCTGTGTCCTCATTTACCCACTCATACAGAACTCTACTAGATCTCTACAAAGCTAATTGAACAAATCATTCTTAAGAGACTAATCAGAGCTTTATCACATTCATACACTGATGGGACACACATCAGAGGCTATGAGGGGTTCAGTGTCTTGCCCAGGGACACTTCAGCATGTGACTGCTGGTGGATTCGAAACCCCAACTCTTGCATTGGAGGACAACTGCTCTAACCACTCAGCCACAGCTGCCCATTTAGAAAAGAGAGCCTTGACATCCTTTTCAGGAACATCACCAAGTCATTGGTTCAGGTATGTTGATGACACCTGGGTTAAAATCAGGATGTCCAACATTTTACTGACCACATCAACTCTGTGGATAAATACATCAAGTTGACACTGGAAGATGTAAAAAATGGCAGGTTGGCTTTCTCGGACTGTGAGGTCTCAGTTTCTGATAGAGGACATTTGCAAACTGATGTGTACCACAAACCCACCCACACAGACCAGTATTTGCAGTTTGACTCCCATCACCCTTTGGAGTACAAATTAGGAGTCATCAGGACTCTGTACCACAGAGCAGACAGCGTCCCCACTAACTCAGGAGCCAGGCAGAGGGAGAAATCCCATACAAGACAGGCTTTAGAGCAATGTGGATATCCTAACTGGGCCTTCCTGAAAGCAGAGAAGAAACCCAAACAGGACTCCAGTCAGCCATCAGGTCAAAAGGAGGAACCCAGACCCAGACCAGTGGTCATTCCATATGTTGAGGGAGTATCAGAGAAACTGAGACGTTTATTTTCTAAACATAACGTACCAGTGGCTTTTAAACGCCTAAATACATTACGGCAAAGACTGGTTCATCCCAAAGATCCAGTCCCCCGGCACAAACAGAGCAATATTGTGTATGCTGTTCAGTGTCAGGAGGGCTGTGATCAGT